TCAACCTGACTGAGTTATCTACAGGACATTCCAGAATTAGACTTGATTGCATACGTTTTGACTGAGAAAGAAAATAAGATGCGCATTGTGGTAAAAAATATGAATCAGGATTCATAGTGCATGGATTGTGCACTTTCTTGGCTACAAACTTGATGGAATCTCTTCACTAGCATCACGAAGTCGAGTGTTAAGTACATTTAAATTGAATGATTTTCATGTATGGATGTGCTGCTATATATCCCTGACAGCAGACAAACAGAAAATGTGAGCTGTAGGCATGGGGGGCCGGGCCATTGTTTGCAACAGCGAGGCAGTAAATCAGCCAGCGCGATCCTTGATTTGTTAACCTTTGTTTGGCTGTGTCAGCAGATGAGGCATGGCTGGAGCGGCCCCTTTGATGGTCATGAAATACAGCCTCTCTCTCTGTAGTTACAGCCATGGAGAGGAAGAAGGGGGCCGGCCTTCCCTCTGTGCAGCACAGGATATTGAGCTTCCCTTTACCCCCTTGGAGATACATTAGATTGCTCCTAGTGGGGGACGGGTACCCAACAGAAGCAAGGACTACTGGGGAAACGCCTGCAGTCTGCTTCAGTGATGCATCATTCAGACCTGAATCCTTCAGATCCCTGACTTATTTCTCAAAATATGCACGGTTATTAAATATCAAAAGAGGCTTTTTATTTGAATTAAGCTCGTGTTTGAGCCAAAACAACAACGCTTAATTCCAGCAGTTATGTCCGGAGGGAGGGGCATCGGCCTCTCTGTGGCCCCCCCCGCCCCTGCCAGGGAAAAAGAGACCGTCTTTGACTGCCCCGGTTCATCAGAACGCAGGAAAGGCCAATGGTAGTCAGGTCATCTTTCCACTGTGCATCAGGCCAAGTTCCACAGGCAGCCCTGATTCCTTGACACACAAACCCACACAGACGGCAGAGGTCAGCACGAGGTCAGCGCAGGGAAGCCCGGGGCCGTAAACCAACACTGGTGCTGTGAAAGGCCAACCTGCACTGAATGAGTTACTGAATGAGTTAGGGAGCTGCCCGGGTGATTTGTGGCATGATTGCTGCTCCCTATATCACTTGAGATTATAGCAGGTGGCGGCCCACTGCCTGGAAGTACACACAGCTCCATCAGCAGTCCACCTCTCAGGAAACGGAGAGAGAATGAGGCGGAGAAAGAGAAAAACAAGCCCTCAGCTGCCTCCCACACAGCAGTAATATGCTCACAGGCAATTTCGCTGCCAGCAGAGCTCTCTATGACAATCCAGGGAGCTCTTCAGCTCTGATATCCGCCACAAAAGTTCACCTCCGTTTTCCTCTCTCTATTTTTTTTTTAAACAATGCCATCAGCACTGCAAATTACCCCTTCCACATCGCACATTACTCTCTCCCCCAGTGACAGACGCACTCAAGCCCGACACACTTCACCAGCGGCGCTCTTCACGCCGGCGTCGGCCCCGGGTCTCGCTGTAGCACCGCTTCATTTTCACATTAACTCCAGTAAAGCATGGTGAAATCAGTGTTGTGCTTGGGGGGGGGGGCACTTCAACTCATCCCCACACTGAAGTCGGTCTCACATCGTAGACACAGCTGCAGGAGATGTCTCACGAGAGACTAGCTTCTCCGATATACCTACCAGATGAAAGTCTCTACAATTGGTCGTCTTCTTCTGAAAACTTTTTGTTATATTTGTATATAACTCTCATTGCATCCCAACCGCAATCAATATGAAGCCCGTCGTGGTTTTACATTCATAATGATCATTTTGGGGGAGTGGCTTTGGAGGGAGGCCTGAAGGGACAGGCTGTCGGTGTTGCAGACTTCGTGAATTTCTCGCTAAATTTAGCAACTACTTTCATTGGAAAAGAGTCGTCAACACTGGGCTGGGTGTTAGGTTGGATCATTTATTAAATCTAGCGTAGGCTGCTCTCGCATGGTTCTCAAGATTACTGACCTCAGCTTTAAAATGAAAAAACACTCGAGGAAGTTATTTCTAAGTGCGACCGCGTTTTTTTATGTCACTGTGATCATGTGTACACAGGAAATAGATTCAACATGCTTTGAGAGGATTGTGGCATTACTTATTCTATTGTCTAGTTTTCAGTGTTAGTTAGTCCTTTTCTATTCTAATTAGGTTCCACACACTGAACCGTTCACTGATGAGAACATTTTCAAACCTACTCTTGATAAATGGCACTGCGGAGTGTTTTTTAAATGTCATCCAGCATTATCCTAATCTTGCTGCTGGGGCTCAGCTCACCAAACAAGGCACTAGCTTTAGTCTCGGCTCTCCAATGACTGAGCTGAGTCTCTGGGACGGCTTGTGGATTGACAACTTCATAAAGGATGGGAATGTAACCGTGTGACGAGACATCACTGGCCTGGGACACTTTAATCATGTGATAGATCTGTCTGCAGGCCATCATCAGTTTGTCATCATCAGTATCGGGGCAACACAGCACTTCATCCACTCACTGGACAGCAGTCACTGTCTCAACGTGGCTTGGTTACTAATCTCCACCCACGCCGCCTTGGAAGCAGCTTGGACTTAGAAAAGTTGTTTATTTCACCGGTGGTTAAATAGACTACACCACCATCTTTTTGAAGGGTGCTTACTCTCCTGCACAGCACATGAATCAGGTTAGCTGGCCGACACCTGCGGGGCACATTGACAAGTGCGGTAATTAGAGCTAACATTTAATGACTCTTAGTTAATGAAATCCATTCCTGGGTACACTGAACCCAGAGCGAGCAGGAAGGAGGGAGGGAAACAGCGAGGCAAGCAGAGAGTGACGGTGACTTTAAGCTCCACATCAGACGACCATGGTTGTCTGATGTGGAGGTGACGCCGACAGAGCTGGGGAAGAAAACAAATCAGCGTCTGATGACACAAAAGCCACATTCTCATCAGTTGGATTTTCTTTTTCAAATGCAGTGTAGGCCCCGGGCGGAAAGGCAGAGAGAGAGGAGAAAACATTATGGCTTTTGAGGGAGCATGAAAAATACACTGTAATTATTGAGTAGGTGAGAAGGCTGTGAGATTAAAAGATGAGAGACCAGCACTGAGGCTTCAAAGAGACCTGAGGTTGCCCTGGGCTGATTTCCAGTCTTGCTGCAGAGAATAAAAGCCAACAGTCAGTCATTACCAAAGCTGCACATCAGCAGCTGAATTACAATGGCCTTCCCTGTGCTCTGTTGCTTTAAGATATATTCATGTGTCTTACTTTTGTCCCAATCCATCAAAATGTTATTAATAATAATCGCACTAAATCTGAAATAAGCTTTTGACTCATCTGCCAAAAACAATATACATTCTGTCATAGTAATACCAAGCTATTTGGCATATTTTTATGTCTTACTAAAGCCTGATTTATTCATCAAAGGCTATTTTTATAGATTTTGATATTTTGCAAATGTATAACATTTTTGTGAATCGTGAGTAAAGCTGTATTTACACCACTGTCTATAGATTTCACCACTTGTAAATCAACAACTCAAATGTGCAAGTTGCTGTGTTTCACTTGTAGCTATAACTATTGCTTCATTGCAGAACTCAACAAAATGAACTAGCCGTAGCTTTGTTTGGGAGTCAGTTTCACTGCCTTGGCTCTCTCAGCCGTAAGCTGAACTACAGCCCAATGGGCACTTTATGAGCAGGCACAGTCAAACAAACGGAGCCCTTTTGCACATGCCTTTGTGTGCAAATATTGACACTCGTCGTCCCACAAACGAGCCTCTCTCGACGCATTTGTCGGAGCTGTTGCTTGTGCATTAGAGCGATGGTAATCTCCTCTTAAAAACTCCAGACTCTTTTAATCTCAACACCACCCTCCATAAAAATACCAATCCTGGCTCTCCCTGCACCTGGATTATTTTACTGACCTTTTGCAATAATGGCAGGCATTAGCATATGGCAGGAGAGGAGGAGGAGGCAGAGATGGTAAAAGGGAAGAAAAGGGGGATATTCAAATGGGGATAGGGGCCACGAGAGCAGACTATCATGCAGCAGAGAGAAAGCGTATTTTGTGTACTGTTTTCCCCAGTCAGGTCCTTTCATGGAGGGGGAGAGAGGGGGCCTTCTGTTGATTTAGGCTGCACAAAAGGGGCCTTAATCCTTTCAAGGGAACCAAATCAGTCCACAGAGAAGCACTTTCAAAAGGAAACCTCCCTGTCAAGCATGGCCATTGAGCCCCCCCAATGGATGCCACAAATCAAGCCCTGGAGGGAATCAAAGGCCAGAATGTGGGAAATGTGTTTGGAGGTCTGCGCGGCGGAGAGTGCGGCTCTACGAGGAAGAGGGTGGGGGTGTTGAAGGACCTTTCATCGGCAGTCGGCCCCGTTCCTGCCACAGCCCTGAAGGGGTCATAACCCTCGTCTCCCTCCTGCCCTGCATGGTAACTCCCCCCCATTACAGAGGAATGTCCATTCACGTGGGGGGACCACCATTATCCCAGAGCCAGAGAAAATGGGGCTGCTTTTAACAGCAAATTAGTGACTTGATAATGAGGTCACATGTGGTGTTGGCACACTGAGGCCATAAACAGATGCCTCTCCGGCCCTTCCCTCATTCCCTGCAGTATTAGTACATCTTCCTCCTCCTGGTGCATCTCAGCACATTTGCAACAAAGTGTCACCAAAAGCAAACATTGCCTCATGTCACACATCTGTAACCACAACAGCCTACATGACCTTTTTTAAGTTTGCACATCTTAATGTTTACTGGCAGAGAGAGAGAGAGAGAGAGATTTTCATCTCACGTCTCGGTGTGGAGACAGCACTGAGCGGTATTTCATCGCTGTGCACCTTGGGTAAATTGGATCAGCTTTATGGATGCGCTGCGTTATTGCTGTTGCATTATCTTAAACGACCAAACATTAAAGTGTCGCCGCACTGGGACAATGCATAGCAATTTCAACATGGTAATAACACCAAGGGGAATGAAAATACACCTGCACCGTCACATTGACAACATTTCAGTAGCGTAGAAAGACAAAATGTCTGTACCTTTAACTGCAGCTGTGCTGAACAACTTCTCTGAGCTGGCATCGGAGACCTGAAAAAGAGGAGACTGGAATTAGAAAAACATCACAGCGCCATATCATTTTACACCAAGACGTCCAAAACCCGCTCCTAGATAGCTTTTCTGGGGACAGCGCAGACTAGGACTGAGAGGATGTTAGTGTTATGGTAAATAATTATGGAGCTTAAGTCACCAAACTGTCGTTTGAAATGAAACCGTAATCCTTGAATTCACCTTGGTTTACGAAGATTTATGATGTGGTTTTAATATGAAGGCTATCTCTGATCATTTAATCTATGTTCTCAATTTTAACAATCTTAAAGGTCAAATTTAACTCAATTTAAGCAATGACATGTCCAGAGTCCGCATCCTGTCAAGCCCAAAATGATGTCCATAATTAGTTGGGTAACCTGAGCATCATGATCCACACAGATAATGGATCTCAGACTGAAACAAAACAAGTGGCTCTTCATAGTCACGCCACTTGGTGGCACTGTTGCTCCGTGACAACACAACTCCATCCCTCCTGCTCAGCATCACTGTGTTACAATACAACGTGCAGTGTTGGGATTTAAACCTGAATAATAACAAAAAGGCTTACAGACGTTGAAAATACTGAGTCACAGATTAATTTCATTTGGCGACATTAAGGTGAAAGAGTATTATTGTTATCACAAAGTAAATACAGGTTGCGAGGACAGGAAAGACACAGGACAACACATGGGAAGAAGACTGACAGACAGGTTCGTCTGAAGAAAATGAATTTCTGGTAACTGGCTATGTGCATTTCCTCACCTCGGGTTTGTTTAATGCTAAATTATGCACCACTAAATATCATGTTAAGGCATTACATTTGATAACTGCACGGGGGTATTTTCTTGTGATATAATGACTGAATATTCAAAATCGGCGTCTGCGACTCATGCTTTGCATCCTGGTGTCTGGTTTTGATCTGCAGGAAGAGCGAAGTATTGTAATGACAAAATGAAAATGAAATAAGTGCGAACGGACAACCAAATGAATGCTGCTTTACTGCTGGATGTAAAACCGTGTCACGAATCAGCCATGCACTCACTAATGCAACACTGACAGCATGTAAACAATGAAAGCTGCGGAATAAATGACAGCACGAGAGGTGACATGAAAATGGTTTACCATTAAAAGAAGAAAAAAAAAAAAAGATTCCACTGACAGCATTTTGCACACGCTCACACACAATGCAATCTAAGATGATAAGCGGCTCGGAGCCAGCGCGCATACCTTTGATGTGGCAAGGTTAGCGAGAAGGCAAATAAGTCAGGGTATTACTTTCTCGGTCTGGTAAATATGCCCTCGTTTCACATTCTGTTTTTCAAATCATATAATCCACACAAGAGGCGGCGAAGTCTACTCCGGTTAGATCGAGGACAGCCATGCGGAGAGGGAAGCAGCCTTTCCAAGAAAAAGGAAGAAAAAAAAAAATCCAAAGCCGTTCACAAAGCTACTGCGCCTTTTGGACAAAGGGAACCATGTGTCTCGCCACGGAGAGCTTCTGCAACAGCGCTGAGGCGACGAGAGAGAGAGAGAGAGAAAAAATCCCTTGATCCACCTTTCTTTCCTTTCTCAGGACACAACGAGATTTTTTTTCAAGTATATATTCTCCTGTCGGGAATATCCGTGAGAGGTAACCAACAGGATCCGGGAGGGTCTGCGAGTCGGTGCGCAGAGAGAGGGGCTGCGTCCGACGGAGCAAACCAATCCAACAAAGCGCACGGCCGGTTCCTTCTGTAGAGACAGAGACGGAGCCAAATCACACAAGCAGAGCGCACAACTTCACACGGTATAAGCCCGCCGTCGCTGCTGTGTGTTCAGCTGCAAACGCCTGTCTGCCGCGCTCTCTCTGACGGATCCCGGTCGTGGGCGCACAAGAGCCTCTCCCCATCCGCTACTAAGAACCAGACAAACTCCCATTCATCCAGCGACTGACTGCCAGAGTGCCTTCACGGTCGGGTCCTCCCACTTCCTGATTTCCAGGCGGACTTGGATTCAACCTCAGTCTCTCCGTCAGAAGACAAACACTCGTGTTTTTGGAGGGGGCTTCTGAAAAGTGGGCAGCTCGATTGCAGAGGCGCACATCTGCGCTTTTACCTTTTGCGTAAATGGCGCGCAAAAGGAGAGGCGGCAGCGCACCAGAGCTAGATAAGGAGGCAGGAGAGAGAGAACACGAGGGAAGAAGAGAAAGGAGGGAGGGATGGGAGAGCGGAGGCAGAAAGATATTCTTTCTCTCACTCTGTACTGAGTGAGATGATGTCAGCCCCTAATGAATTCCCCAGTAGGGTGCTGCTATGAGGGGAGGAAAAAACAAAACGCTCCTTTATGAGTAGCATGCACCTCCTCGCAGCCCACAGGCTGGTCTTCCTGTTGGACCATCTCCCACTCCACTGGCCTGAAGGGAGGTCAGCTGGTAATAGAACAGCATCGGGTCATTCAGCCTTCAATTTGAGCTCTCCCCGGCCCACCCTGACAGAACAGAAACCTAACAAGCTTCCTTCACTGACACTGCAGACATAACTCATGACTACCACGTTTATAATTTTGTTCACCAAAGCCCTGGAGGGATTTTTCTTAAGCTTGCCCACCCAGGGTCACAAAAAAACCAGCCCTGCTGGAGCTGGCAGGGCTCAGCATCTTGCTCCATAGGACCACCTCCAAGTGGCTTCCCAGTATTGATGCCATTGAGTGTGTATTTAAAAAAGGATCACGCAGATTTAAGATGGGACACTATCCTGTTAGGATTCACACTGCAGGCCTGAAAGTAGCATTTACCCGAGAAGCAACGGCACTCATCCTTCTTCGCCTCGGTTCATCTCACTGGGCGAATCCTGATCCAATGCTGGAAATTACTGAAAAAATCCTCTTGATAGCGCAGACCCTTTAGCATCCTATAGCCTGTCTAATGAGCATTAGCCCCGCTGGCTCGGAGGTCAATGGGTGTACAATAGAGTCACATTGCAAAGTCTCTCGCTGCCAGTTCAGCCCAAGCAACCACAGAGCAGAAAACAGACTTAGCTCATAGCTGAGATGCTAATCCGTCCCTCGGTAACGGAGAGACCGAGGGTGCGTTGGCTGGCTGGGACTGGCCACATGAAGTCATGGGAAATGGGACATACAGTTGCCTGAGATTCAGGGAGGCAAAACAAATCCTCACACATCCACACAACAGCCCAAAGTGCAGTCAGATGCTCGGGCTGGTTAAAAATAGGCAGTTTACATTTAGCAGAAAAGTGTTTGTCCATATCAAGTTCCCATGGGCTTGGCAGAGCTGTTCAAGGACACACAGGTTAAAAAAAAATGTGAAGTACCATTAGGGGGTTGGAGGGATTTTATCTTATGTGGCCGCTTAAAGTCCAGCCACTTGGTTCAGTTACAGAGGACAAAGGCTGTGGTCACAAAAGGGCCTGGGAGACACAGCAGCCTGCATGGCCATGTGTTCATCAAGTTCGAGGCTCCCGCTATGCCCCCTTGTATGTTTCACAGATGTATGCACTGTGCATTGAACAACTTCAACCAATGAAGTAGTTTACCCTCTGGCACACTGCTGCTCATAGGCTGTGGGAAAACATCGTTGATACTGCACTACAGTGACATTATGTAGCTGCGCAGTGCCACGCTTCATGCAAATGCAGTAAATCAAGTCTAAAATTAGTTGCAAATGTACCAACTGTGGTTACATGTAATTAGATCACAGGGATTCTTATGTTTGAAGCGGTTATTGCGATGAAGCATCAGGAGCGTATCGTGGTTTGGCTTCAAAAGCATGACATGGCCGGCATCAAGATATGTATTTATGCGTCTGCCACCAGCAGCAAACGGCTCCCAGACGTTTTCACGGGCCTGTGCGCGAGCAGCCATGAACGAGCCGCTGTTCTCCATTTTAAATGGCCATTATCAGATTTGAGAGCGACCACAAGTCTGTGATTACAGCCACGCTGCCAAACAATCGGCGTCCGGATCTCTTACAGCACATTATTTTTAATTCAAATGAAACGACGCCGGAGATGAACACACATAAAAAATGAGAACCCTGCAGTTTCATGTGGAAAAAAAGAAACATCGCCTGTGGGAGAGCATGAAGCACTGAGATCAAACACAATGTCTCGATGTACGCTATGTATCTCAGTAATTGCTGTCTGGGCACGCAAGTTCCGTCTATAGACCATCAGCTTCACACTGACATTTTGTCATCTTTTATTCCTTTTTTTTGGATGCTGATTCTCCACTTCAAAGACACCAGAGGCTTGTTTGCCCCCCCCCCCCCACAACCATGGTGTAATTTGACAGGAACTCTCTCCTAGATTACAAACACAGGGGACCGGCTCGCCTTTACGAGCCTTCCTGCCATTATGCCAAATCTGCCCTTGATTAAAATATTACTGATAAGTGTAACATGAGTGCTGGCAATGTAATATGTTAAAAGCTTTTATTACGTTTGTCTGTTGACTCAGGGCCCTGCCTTTGCTTTACAAGGCCTGAAAAAACCCCTCATGACTCAAACTATAGGATTGGATGCAGAGGCCAGGAAATGGAAAGAGACTTTTCTCGGTGACATTGAACAGAGTCTTCGTGAGTGGTGAACAGCAGTCATCTCAGGGGGGTGGAATATTTCAGAAACAGTTTCACCTCACAGTGACATCTTTGTGAGAATGAAATACTCCTGAGCTACTAAAAGGACTACAGGGTGCTGAGGGGAACATGAACGTGTGTACCAAATATGGCAATTCACCCTGTAACTGCTAAGACAGTTCCCTCAGAACCACAAACGTGACCCTCATGTTGGAGGCAGAGGAAACTTCAGGGAATCACCAAAGTATTTATAACTAATCCTCTGAGGACCACGAATATCTGTATTAAATTCCATGGCAATCCATCCAGTATTTAATTTGGCATTTCACTCAAAAAATGGAAGCACTAGGTGAAATGTCAGGATCACCAAAGTCACTCTGATTCATCCTCTGGGGACCATAAATGTCTGGACGAAACTGCATTGATAACTA